CCGAAGGGCCAAAGAGAGGAAGCTCAGAGGCAACGGTGTTAAAAGGAAGGTTGGGGGCATCGGCAAGCCAAACTGAAAGGCTGCGAAGCACTTTCGCATACGAAGAGCCGTGGCCGACGTGAATCCGGACTGCAGGTCGACAGAGCCACGGGGCGTAGGCGGAACATGCTGCGGGGCAGGGTTGCGCTCGACGTCCCCCGCGAGCAGGATCAGGAGCCGGCCATCGGCATAAGGGCCGGGAGAAACGCACAGAGGCGACGACCACATCAAAGCGCCACGGTTTGCCGTTTGGTGGATCAACGAACCAGTCGGGCACGCACCTCCAAGGGGGTGCAAGTGCCACGGTAAGTCACAAGGGCCGTGCAAGCGGACAAGAGCCCAACACTGTGGCGGGTACACTCAAAACCGGCACAATGTGTTGCAAGGAACTCATAAAACGGTCTCCGGGGCATGGGCCGCTGGTAGCACACACGCTCGGCACGGCACATCGCGCCCCAACCGACTCCAGAAGGCGCAGGTGAGCTTCCTGTGCAAGTTCGACGGCGAGGGAATCCCCCATGGATAGCGTTCGGAGCGCGAGGTACTGTCGTGCTTCGCAGGATCATAAGCACGTAGGCCTCGCAGCTCGGAAATGAAGTCCTATGCAGTTGCGACAGGCCCTGGCTAAGCTGACGATAAATGTGTGGTAGAACTCAAGCAAATCATCGCTGCTGAGACGCAGGGTCTCGTTGGCAGCAAAGGCAACCAATGTGAACGTTGACCCTGGAGCCAAAGTCCGAGTCTGGCTTTTGATCGTTGCCATGCAGCTGCTTAGCACCGCTGAGTTCACAATCGGGCGGTCACGCAGGTGGTCTTTCGCAACCTTGAAAAGGGTGGCCTCATCTCTGCGAACAGCACTGGCCGAGAAAATCGCCAAAGCACCAGCGCTTTCGCAGATGCGAGCCAGCTCGAGCAGCTCTTGTTTGGAGGCATGCACCAGAGCGGGCCACTCGGCTCACACAGCCGATCGTAAGACGCCGGTTGGTGAAGGCTCGTGAGTGAGGGGCTCGTGAAGGTAAGCTTTGACACGCGAAACTATCACAGAGGAAGCATCTCAGGTGCTTGCAAAGTCTGCTTAATTCAGGCACCTCGCCAGCTAAAGTCGGAGGCACCAGGTGCCTTCCCAACCGACTCTATAATGACTGATTTCCTGCACGAGATTGCGGCGCAGCCAGTCCAAGGAGGCCCCGCACCGAAGGGCCAAACGGCTCACTCAATCGAACAAGTCGGAGCGGCCTAAAGCGTCCAGGTCGGCAAGTGCTGCTGAAATAGAATGCATCCAGAAGCGGTCGAGCCGGTCAAGCATCTCGACCTGCGGCGAGCTGCCCCAACGCAGGCGGCAGGGGGAGGCTGCAAAGGATGACCCAAGGCGCACCAATTGCCAACAGAGGTTTTGTAATTAACTTGAGAGGGCTCGGCCGCGGGCCCGTCGCCACTCGGTCGGTGGGGGGGACAGGGCCACAAGTCGGTGCCAGGGCGAAGCACGTGAGCCAGGTGAGCAGCGTGCAAGACTCCAGGTCACCAAGCTACACAACCAATTCAACCAATCCTCAGTAGGACCGGCCTCCGGACCGGCAGGCGCTGAAGGCAAAGCTGCAGCAGGCTGGCAAGGACGGCCTGGCAAAGCCGGGGTTGGCCTGCGGAGGCTAAGCTGCAGGAAGCACAGGTTCCGGCTTTGTCGAAAGTACCAACCGGAGGCGAAGAAGGCGAACCCCTAAGCCTAGCAAGACCCGGCTGCCGTTTTGGAAGCCAAAACCGGCACACTAGCTTGGAGTCAAAGCCTTCCCCGGAGGCCTTGCAAGACAAGCCCTTCAAACGAACAAGATGCTGGGCAGAGAGCCAGAGGCGGAACAGCCGCATCTCGGCAAGAAGCCGCGGAGTCGCAGCTTCGTGCGGGCCTGGCAGAAGCATGCAAGCTGCTGAGAGAGATCACCTCCTGCACCCGGATCTCCCCTACCCCCGGCTAAAAGCTTGGCAAAAGAATTTCCTTCGAGTTCGGCCAGCAGGGTGAGAAGCTGAGCTGTTTCTTGGGCTGCCTCGTGGCGCCTTGGCTGGAAGGAGCCTTGCTGAAGAACCCTGCTGCATTCCAGGGCACGTCCACGAGCAGGGCAGGTGTCGCGCCAAGCTGGCAAACGGCGCCTCGAGGCCTCCATTGCGAGCTAATGTGCCGAATGAGGGCGACAGGCGCTCCCAACACACCGACCCAGGTAGCAAGATGCTCGCGCACCACAGCCATGAACCCACCTGCTTGGGCTCGCAACAGGTAAGCTGAGCAACTCGGAAGCCTCCTCGGTCTCGGCAGGGTAGAGGAAGCAAAGGGAAGGCTGTGCTCTGGCTACAGCAAGGACAACAGTCGCTCGCTCGACCGCTGCCCTGTCTAGTATCGGGGTGGAGTCTGAGGCAAAAGCGTGGGACACACTGGTGCCAAAGCGATCAGCAGTAGAGCTCCGCACACGATCCAGGTGCTGTTGCGAGCTGGTGGTCCAAAAACCCCGATGCTGTCCGAGAGGAGGCACACGTAGATCCGGTTCTGAAACCCCAGATGGGGCGACGAGTCGACGTAGTGCTCGAGGCCGTCGAGCTTGTGTTTGGCACTGATGCCGGCTCGCAGGGCACGTGCCATCCTGGCAGCAGGAGTCCAAACATTATCTGCTCCGCGGAGCTGCCCAACCAAAGACTGAGCGGGGCCTAAACCCAAAGAGGGTCCGAAGAACAGGAGCCACTGTCAGGGCCCGGCACAAAGTCGTCGGGACTGTCCCACGAAGCACGGTCAGGGGTGGCAGTAAATGCAGCCCGGGATGACCTTCGGGCGGAAGGAATACCGACAAAGAGCCCAGCTTCCCTTAGGACCTCGGGGAGGGCGGCCCAAAACATGAACCAAAAAAGCTTCCAGACAGTCGCTAGCTGTCGCATGCAGCAATAGGATGGTGATGATGGTGGGGCTGATGGTGACAGTGATGCTGCTGGTGGCAACGTGACAGCGCTCACAATCGTAAGACTGGCAGACAACCATGATGAGAATACCAACATTAAGAACAGCAGGACCAAGAAGACGCAAAGCATGGTTTCTACTTGTTGTTATAGAATATACTAACTTGATCATTATCAGCAGCAGGTTCACCCTCATCATCATCATCCCCACCACCGTGACTAGTGCACCATCTTGTTCACAACCACTACCACCATCACCACCATGGCAACCACCATCGTGATCACCACCATCACCATCACCATCAAAGTTGGGATCCACTCTCGGATCACGGTCACATGCAGTATGGATGCTTTGGTAATGGCGGAATTTCTGGCCAGGCACCTTGTGGAACACAAGCCCATGCAGAACCCATGAAGCAAAGGCTAGGCTCGAGGAGGGTTTCGTCTGAAATGCCCTGCTCCCTTCGAAGATTTCGCGGGAAGCTGGAGGAAGCCGAGGAGCATTCTAAAAAAAGCCTCCTCCACTGAACCACCTGCTGTCAGTGGGCCATGGTTCTCAAGAAGCAATACCTTGTTCTTTGGCCCGAGGTTCTGCGCCATTCCTTCCAACCATCACAGCTTTTCCATTGGATCCGGAAAAAAGATTTCACTTGCTTTTACGAGACATATGGCAGGCTCCCTTCAGAAGAAGAAGAAGAAGCCCTTGCTTCTGCAGCCTTAGGCACTCTGCCGCTCGTCCAAGTCGACCGCGTTTCCCTCGAATGGATGGTAGGAAAATTCCCCCCACTGAGATATAGCTTCTTGCGTCAGGGGCAGGAAGCCGGCTTTGGTGGTCAATACCGCAACTGTGTCGGAATGATGGCAGTGCCAGACGCAGGTGATGTCCGGACGGGCAGCGTGCACGGCTGAGTGGACCTCAGGGCCCGGTTCGAAATGAGCAGAAAAAAGATTGACGATTACAGTTGATAGTTAGCAAGGATGGCACTGGCACCACACAACATCTTTCGAAATCTGATTGAAACTGAGGCGTGAACTACGAATCCCTGCTTGAAGAGTGGCCCTTGGTTTGTCCCCTTGTCCACGATATTTCCATCCAGATCCACCTTCAACAAAGAGCTCGCCTCAGCTGGCAAGAACTTCTCAGAGGCAAGCGTACTTTACCTGGCAGCCGTCCGGTTGGGCTCCTTCCCTCGCTAAGGAGCTGTGACCTCATCAAAGCGCAAGCCGAAGGGGTTGATCAGAAAGTGCGGTCCGCCGGGCAAGCGATCGCTTTCCGGCACCTTCAACGTGATGTGGTTGAACACAAGCTCATCCCAGCCATAGTGCGCAGAGAGTCGGTACGCGATGGCCAGCTTACAACGAGCCTCCCACCTCCGTTTTCGAACAACAGGGCAAGAGCAGATGGAGTAGCCGCCCCGCCTACTCTACATACTGGCTTGTCAAGGAAAGATTTCTGAGTTTCCAAGACAAGGTCGCTCGAGAGGACTGAACTGCGATCTCTGTCTTAAGGTAGTGTCCCGCCGTGTTCGGTCACGACGTGCGAGAGATTTGATTTCCGGCAAGTCTGCCGGCGCGGACGGCGCGGCTGCACTGCTCGGCAAAACATGCTGCGACAGCTGCTGTATGCGGCGCATGCTGTCCGAGTCCCTAGCCGTCACCAGCTCCCGAGCCAAATATCACTTAGACTTCGGCTGAAACAAAGATCATTACACTTACTACACTCATGGAAGGGTTGATATGGTGGTCATCGTAATGCACCATGCCTCCACGTATCTCCATACTCGAAGTGTTGTTTCTAGGACTAGGTTTGCCGAAAGCCCAGACTGCAAGAAGGCTGACGCAGAAGCCTTTTCCGCACTGAAAACTGGATGTCGAGAATACTGTTGGCCTGCCGTGTGACACAAACTTGCACGGGTCAACCCTCTGGGTGAGCATGCTAACAATGCGAGGCCATGGAAAAGTGTATCAGAAGGCCTTCATCAGTGAAGCCGAAAATTGAGAGTGAGGTCGATTGAAGAAGTCAGGCAGCATCACACGTTTCTGGTGTCCAATCCCAGTTTCACACGCGCGTCCACCTGTCACGAGACAACACTCGAAGCTAACTCCAAGACCAGAAGACAAAGCAGAGCCTCAGCGGTTAAAGATTTCCAGTCCGGCACCTCGCAAGGCACTCTGCATGTTTCACTACATGAGCCATCAAAGTCACAAGACCCAGACTCCGAGGAATCGAGTGCCAACACGCCCGTTCTTTTTAATGATGATGGCCTGGCCAACGTCCTGCACAGCGCGTGGTGCCGAGAAGGCATCATGACAAGCTCAATCCGAGAAGTTCGGCAGCCTCATCCAAGCCCTGGCTGCGAACCTCAGGCTTGATGCAGGCATGGGCATGCACGAGAGCTTACTGGGAGATCGCTCAGAGACACCCTGGCCTGTGCGAGTTGAATCTCGGAGAGCAGTGCCCAATCTCCTTTTGGATCCTTACAGCGGCGAAGTGCAGAGTAGCTAAGACGACACCCCAGAGGCGCCTTCCCAGGCAGTGCCACGAAGCTCAAGTCCTTCACCGCTGCAGCCAGGGCAGGCCTTAAGTCGGAGAAGCATGGAAACAAGGCGGTGACAGAGGGATGGAGTGTGGATCACTGTGGATATGGCGGCGATGGGATTCTGGGATGCCAACGCATCATCTTCGGAAGGATTGCAAAGCACGGGCACAAGCAGGAAGTCCGTACGGATCATGGCCTTCCGCCAGGACTTGCGCCGCCAGGCATCCCTATAGGCATCCCTCACACTGCCGTGTCAGCCTCCTGAACCGCCATGGAGGCATCGATGCAGTCCTGACCTGAGCTGGCGCTGCTTTCTTGGAGATGTGAAAACCGCTACTCTTGGCTGAGCTTTGCACAGAACTTGAGATTCCCAAGGCAGAGGACCTTGCAAATGTGCCAAGCGAAGCCTGAACATGGAAAAGGAAACCTGGACCGCCGAGCACGCCGCCGGCCGCCGCGACTTCATCCGTCGCCCCACTCGCAGGTCGCTCAACTGGACATCAACAACCTGCGGTGTCTAGGCAGCCTAAAGCAATAACAAACGTTCTTTTGTCTCCTTTAGTACCACACTGGCTGCCAAAGTTGCACCTCTCCATCAGTCGGGACTTGCACTGGAAGCCGCGCGATCAATGCTCCCTCCTGCGGTGGAGCGGGATTTGAGCAAGGACGCGGAAAACCGTGCTAGACGTGTGCACGCCTCCTTGGCTTGAGACCGCACGGAGTCTTGATTCCAATCCTTCCAGGAGACTCTGACAAGGCCAAGGGATTTGGAAAGACGCAGCTGCCTGGTAAGTCAAGAAGCCACAGAAAACCATGGCCCCAAAGTTCACGGCAACGTCTTGCAAGACGCTCCTCGAAAGTCGGGCAAGTCGGGCGCTTTTGCAACACTTGCAGCATCGGCTGCTCGCAGGCCGCTACCGCGTCTCGCTAGGCTCTTGGCGGCAGAGGGGCGGCCCGAGGAGCTCCGAGCAAGGACTGGGCTCGTCAGGTGAAGGCAGGCGGCAAGAAACTGCTAAAACGTGGAGGAAAACAAAGCAATCGCAGAGGCGGAGATGAAGGAAAGAACCTGTGACGTCGGGGTGGCGGCGGTGGAAAGGATGGCCAGAAAGGAGACTGAAACTGAAAAGTTGATGGATTAGAGACAGAGACAGACAGAGACAGACAGGCCGACCGACCCCCCTGAAAGGCCGACGGACTGACTGACAGAACCAATTGCTATCTCTGAAAGTAGTCTGGCAAGGTTTGAAGGATGACTTCAGCGCGCAACTGAGCTTCCCGCTGCTATCAGCCTGCAGCGTGTCAACACATGCACTGCACTCCACTGAACAGTCAGTGCCAATCCATCGAGAAGCCCTCAACAAAACGAATTTGCATTGATTGGACCCGCGTCCAGTCTGCTGGGGATTCAAGGCAATACAAAGCAGCAGCAAGTTTTTGAAGTCGAAACCATTCCAAACCCTTTCTGATGACATGCCAGCACGTTCCCTTTGCGAGCATGGCAAGGTCATGCAACCGCCGCTGAGATAAGAGCGCAGGTGGTAGCTACGTTTCGTTCGACCATGGTCACGCAGGATCCTAGACCCTAAACTTAACCCTAAACCGTGGAATGTTCCAGTGTAAACGCTGGGCCCTCCCACCCTCACACCTCGGCAAAATGAACAGCAGCCCAATGCCGGCACCACCCTCGCAAGAGCATCCATGCAATGGATCACGTGCCAAGAAAAAGCAGGCGACTGCCTTGCATAATATATACAGGTAGATGGAGATAGATAAATACTAGATAGACAGACAGACAGACAGACAGACAGACAGACAGAGAGTCAGAGAGACAGATAGACAGACAGATAGATGGATACATGCACAGCTAGATGGATAGATAGATACATAGATGGATGCATAGATAGATACACGGATAGATGGATAGGTAGATAGACAGATTGACAGGTACACAGATACACGGATAAAGAGTTGCACATGCACATAGACAGACGGATAGACAGACAGACAGAAAGACAGATAGCTAGCTCACTGGCTAGCTAGAGCTAGACAGACAGAGAGAGAGATTCAACTTGGACGAGATCGCAGAGGAATGAGAATCCCTGCGCAGCGCATTGTTTTCTGACATCTCAACTGCCGTCATCGGTCGAAGAAACGCGGCAAGCCAACCTGAAAAATGCGTGTTGCACAGCCACCGCAGTCAACATGGCTTACGGAATACAGTACAGTACATGTGTATATATTTTTTTACTTATTTATGTTGTATATACTGTATACTATATAACCTATATGTGTGTGTGTGTGTATATATATATATGTATGTGTATAGATATACACATATGTATATTTATATTTATATTTATACATACATACATACATACATACATACATACATACATACATACATTACATACATACATACATACATACATACATACATACATACATACACATATACATGTGCATATATATATGTATGTACATACGTACATATTATGACGCCGGGTCACTCACCCGGCCTTGTATGCTTCCAAGACACAAGAAATAAGGGATGGTGCCTTCCGTGCCCGGCTGTGGAAAGGGAGGCTGCTTCTCGTCACTCTCCATAAAGAGGGGCCCATACATCTCCTTGAAACAAAAAAGAGAAACCTTGAGAAATGAAAACTGAACAGATCACCCTACCTGCTCCTTGCAGGACCAGCCGGGTCCCAGGTCATGAGCCTGGTGGGGAAAGACGAAGCGCAGTCGAGTCTAGTCCAATAAACATGGCACTCCTTCGGCTGTCGCCGGTCGGCCTCTGAGTGCAGCTCACGGAAAGTATCTGGCTCATCCTCCGCACAACTTGCAGGAAGTGAGTGCTCTGTAATAGCTCAGGGGGCCATACCGCGAGACCTCGTCATCATCTGACAGCAAATCCTGCAAACGAAACCATGCAATCAAGCCATGCTCTTTTTCTACCTGCAACCGAGTAACTTGACCTGCCCACAGCCTTCGCTGCGACACGACAAGCCTCAATTTGAGAGCCATCTGCTTCTTGCATGGTCAGCTCGTGCCCGGTCCCAAGTTCCCAGCAGCCGGCCGGCTTGAACAAGCACCCGTCGCACCTCCTGCGATGCTCGGTGAAATCTGAAAGCACGCCACAAGGCTACAGGACTGCCAATGTCCTGGAAGTACTGTCTCCGAGACGCAACTGTGCCGAGGCAGTCAGACAAGCCTGCTTAGGAAAATACACGCCAAAATAGAAGTCGACAAAAACACTAGCCAACATTCCTGGCCTTTGTCAATGGCAGCCACAAAAGAGCCATCATCGAAATCTGACATGTTCCTGGAAGCAGTCAGTGTGAAGTTTTCACTCAGAAATGACCGCTAATTGACACATCTGCAACGATATCTGGAAAAGATGGGTTGCCGCCTGGCATCCATTGTGAGGAAAGTTAAATCAGGGAATCTCCGCCTCATCCGTTCCTGAAGACGGCTTCACTGGGAAGATGCACTGAGGATGCTCCTAGCTTTGCATACTCTCAACACAATTCGTTGTTGATTGCAGTGAGCATCTGTCACCTCAGCTGAGAAGTCGATGCTGATGACCTGGAACTGTTGAGGTTTTGGCATTTCCCATCGCACACCACGGATCCGAACCTCGACATTCTCGAAAACCTGCCCCGAGCTGTAACCAGGCGCAGCAGGACACGTGCCGGGACCTGCCTGGTCCGAAGCCAGCTCGGCACTCAGAGCGGAGTCGCCGCTTCCAAGCACCAGCAGCCTTCCAGTTTCAGAGACTCTGCGGTGCTTGCAGGTGTTTTGAAAAGCGCAGGAACGAGTTGTTCAAAGCTTCGCGGAGATAGCCCTATCGTACCTGATGGCATCGGCTTGGCTGACTCGCATGTACGATCAGCTTTGCACATACCACCTTGCACTCCCGAAGGACAAATTTCTCAGGCCTATTCTCAACATAACTCCGAAGATTAGGCAGACACGTCCTCGGCCTGGCTGTGGTGGAGTGTGCAGGCAGCGGCTCGAGCAGCTCCATCAAAGAACTGTGCAATTGCTGGTAGCCTGCACCCGGTCATTCGACATCCAAAGAAATCAAGAAGGTGTCTCCCCCCCCAAAAAAATAAAAACACACAAAGCTGAGCTGCCCGCCAAGGCCGTACCACTCGTACAGGGAGCGCCCGTGCAGGCTTTGCACTTTGTAGACTTGGTTCCAGTAGTCCGGTTGGTCTGCCTCAATAAAGCAAGGCCGTTCAGAGGGGGAATCGTTGCACCTCGGCGTCGAGCTGCAGCCGGATATTCGTCGTTTCCATGGCCACAAAGAAAGAGCGTCCAGAGCAGACAGCTCAGCCATAGCATCATGCAGGTGCTGTAAACAGCGCTTTTTGGCAATCATGGGCTGTGAGTGGCTCTGTCGCTGATCACTTCAATGAAAGCACGCCGTGTCTCCTTCAGCTTGAAACCGTGTGTTGTGTGGCTCCTCCTTCTTGCACTGCATCCCTCATCATTCCTTTAGCCGTCATACTGCCAATATGCCGCTCTGGGAAAGCTCAAGACGAAGGCTGCAAACAAGTGTTGCCAGTTGCTGCCAGACCCGCAAAGGTGAATGAGCGAAAGCATTCTGAGAGTCAAACTGTCAGGAATCCAAACAAGGCAACTTTGACCTCCCAGGTGGGCACTTCGAACGGCTCAAACCCAGCGATCCATGCCTTGGCAAAAGGATCCTCTGTCTCTGCCTGGCCAAGCAGACTCAATAGGGCTCAAGACTCGGTCGAATCAGTAGAGCAGCAAGGGGGAATTCGGAATCCGGGTGCGCTGCGCGCAATTTGTCATTGCTGAATTTCTGCTCCGCTGGAAGTGCCCGCGCTGGCCTCGGCAAGCAAACATGTGCGGATGGACAAAGCTTCGGCCAAAGACAACAGAAGAGGGAGAGGACGAGATGACTCGATTAAGATTTGGACGTGATGCCAGTCCTCAAGCCTGGCATTCTCCCACAATCAGACATGGAGCAAGCCGCTGGCAACGCACCTTGGGATACCTCTGACAAGTTGACAAAGGAGACATGGCACCTTGCTCATGCGCATCAGCCCAGTCTGCAGCACAAAAACGCGAGAGTGCACAGGCTCCGACAAGTTCGCCAAAAAGACCAGGCAAACACACCTTGCGCATGTCTGCGGCACATCTGCGCATGTTGGTGTATCTACCCGTTGGCCTTGCTGTCAAGGTTGACGCGCTGCACGGCGCAGAACGGTGGGAGCGCCGCATCTTGCTCAAGGGTTTTACAAGCTCCAACCAACCAAGCTTTCATGATTACGTTACACTGCAAGCACTGCTTCGAACCCGTGCAACCTCGCTGTATGTTTGAAAAAGCCACAGCTGCTGTGCTCAATCGGGAAACCACACTTTGTTCGCTTCTTGTCTGCATGGTAGGAGCCGAACCTGGAGCACGAAAGAAACACCAAATGCGTTGCCAAAGCAGGCTGTCAAAACACTTTGCATTTGCCTGTTACAAAGCTTTGGGACATCATTCTGATCATTCTTGTTGGGATTGGTGAACTGCTACAGAAAATGATCAGTTGCGTGAAAAGCTTGTGGATTCAGGATCCTTCAATTATGTCAAGTACTTCGCTATTCAGCTACGGTCTGAGGCATCTGAGCATTGAGCTGCTGGTGCTGGCAATAGAAACTAAGCAGGTGCACCTCTGCGGTTTGGTTGTGTCGGGAAGTCCATGCTTTGGAAAAGAAACGAGATCTGGGTTTTGGGATCCAGAGATAGATCTCTGGAAGTCGCCGAAGCCACGCAAATAAAGCTCGTGTTCTTAGCGGCTTCAATTCTCTAAAACGGTGTAGCTTGACCAGCAGCTCCGGTGCAACAACGGGAAAGTTTTGTGTTAAACTGGCGGGCTTTTCACCGTATACTGCGTTGCTACACTGTAAGCTCAAGGGCCCTAAACATTGCGGATATATACACTAGCGTTCACAATCATGGTCACAACAGGCAAAAGTGAACTCTAGTTCAGACTCAACCTGTTCTCATGTTGTGAACGGCTGTACACTATACAAGTGTTAATTAACCACTGGAGGTACGGCATAGTTGTCGTCCTCATTGCTTGTGGTATCTGCAGTCTACTACACCCGGACTCAGCTACTGTGGTACATACGGGCGTATGTCCTGCTGCAGCGTCTGCGAACTACACTTACAGCTTAGTACATTCCTTCATTAATTACCTTGATTATGAAATCAAGTTTCATGCTCTTAGTGAAACAATCGGCAGCCTGAGTGGATGTATCAATCCAGTCGACTCGATCTCCTCTCTTATTTTGCACTCTTGCAGGGGCCTCCGTATTGAGATGGTCGGCCAGGCTGCGACAGTCTGTCAAACATACGTGCGGGACCTTTGTTCTGCAAGTTGCTCCCGGTCGGGGCCACGCGAACCAAAACCGTAAACCTCGGCCAATGCAGCGCGGATCCTATCACGGGATTCCTGCGCACTCTGGAGAGCATCGTTTCAGCTTGCAACGCAGCTCCGTTTGATGGTGGTCGATGCAAATGACACTACCATCACGTTGTAGCTACAGCTCGCGTCGCATAGCTGTTGTTCCGGACAAGAAAGTGGATTCGGCCTTGCTGTGACTTGTTATTGTTTTCGCCTGCGAAGCTGGCGTCCGAGGTCGTCAATACTCGTAGTTTTTGCCGGGCGTGACCTCTCGGGTGGTGACCCCGAAAGAAACCCAAACCCTAAACTCTGAAAGACCCAATCCTAATGTGATAACCAACCACCTGAGAGGTCACGCCCGTAGAACTTACCTAAAAAACCTTGTCAGCCTCATGCAGTGTGGCAATAGTAACGCCTTTTATCCGCTCTTCACCACGATCGACCTGATCTGTGCTCTTCCTATTTTATATCAATATAGGTCATCTTAAAAGTGTAATCAATGACATCGATGAATGCATCATTGCCAGATTTGTCGAACTGCTTGCCACAGAAGCGCAGCCCAAACCAAAACCCACCCACAGTTCCCTCTAATCCCCCCTAATTCCCCCAAACCCCACTCCCCAAAAACCCAACTTACCTCAACCCCCCAAACCCTATCACACAGAGCTTTCGGAGGGATTTGGAGAGTGCTTTAGAAGAGAGAGTCTGGCCACGCCGGATTCCATTTACTCCATTTACCCAATTTATCTTATTTACCTCTGAGCTTTGGCCGGTGAGATGGAGCCGCCTCAAGTGGGCCGACTTGTATCTGAGTGAGTTGGCTAGTTCTGTCTTGACTAATCAGTTGGCTATTTGAAATAACAGAAGTTTGGAGAAAGGTTTAAAAATTCGAAAACCTGATGGAGTGCGTGGAGAACGCACAAAAGTGAAAAGAACGCGATGGAAGTGCAGAGTAAGTCTTCCATTAGCTCAAAAAAAACTCTCAAATGAACGTCCGTGCCAACTTGCATGTCCAAAGTGAGTTTAACACGTCTCAGAATTGACGTGCCTGCAGATCGCTTGGAGTAAATCGAGTGAATTGCGTAAACAGCTCAAATGTGACAAGAGATCTCTAGTTGCCATTACCATTGCTCCATTTACCTATTTACTGCCACCATTGCTCATCTTCATGGTCTCCAATTCCGAACTCTAAGTGAAACAAGCTTTACTTTTTTTAAAATCGAAACCACAGTGCAGGGCAGTGTAAACGGCATTAATTTTGGGCTTTGGGTTTCTCAGTAAATTTTTTTCTGAAAAATGTGTCGGCCGAGCGTTCGAGCTGAAAAAACAAGCGTTCGCACCACAATGCCTTTAGACAAGGCTTTGGAAGGGGAAACTATGGCCTTTTTTTCCCATATCGTTTTGGAAGGTCGAAGTCACTCTTTGGGTTAGATGTCCGCGATTGTAACAGTCTTGACCGAAAGTGTTGTCCGTGGCAACGTTTGAGCACTTTTCAACCTCCCAAAACCGGTCCTACATTTGGGTGGTTGTTGCCACCATTGATCGGTATATTTGCAAATAGGCAAATTCATGTTGCTTTTTTGTAGGTTTTACACATAGAACAGTGCAAGTTTGAATCATAAGTTGGATTTGAAAAAAAATCTCAAATCAAAGCCAGATGTTCGACGACCAGAAGCGGAGAGATGCGCCCGATCGAATCACTTTTCCTGATGAAGGAATGGGGAAGCCCAACGATGTGAGTCTGTTCGCCTTTCCATTCCATCGCCCACATATGACCTTCATGACTTCATGTGGCTCGACTTGATGAAAGCGGCGTGCGTCGAAGGTGATCGGTTTGTCATGTATGTCTTGGTTCTCAGTTGAACTTCTGCCAAAGCATCGCCGTTTTCATTTTCCACCCAAACTCGACCTCCGATGAATGAACCCAATGTGATTGCATGATTGGGATGGCCCTTCAGTTCAGGAGATCGCGATGAAGTCCCATTTTCGGGTTGCGGAGAATCGCGATGGAAGTCCACGTTTTGCCAGGGAACCTGTTTCTCAAAAAATGATTGACGGCTCTGCAAGCATTCTCATCATCTGATGCTCGCGAAATGCCAGAAAC